GGTCGTACGCGTTGTGTTCCGCCAAAGGCAACATTTACACAGTGGATTTGAACAACACCAGAGCCGAATGTATTCTCGTCAAAGACTCCAAGATCTTGACGACCGGAACCATCGGTAGATGCTCGATCCCTTTTCGCTATCCCAACAGATCTTGATCTTCCCCTGTGTCTCGAAGCCGCCATCGGGCAGCAAGTACCGAACGTCGTATACGTCCCCGACGACGCAATCGTGGTGCCGGGGCTCAGCGGTGAGTGCGTTCCCGCAAGTAGCAATTACATGGTGTAACACCCGCAGACTCGCACGGCCATCTCCTCGAATACGGCGCAAGCCGCCGCCTTCCTCTCGAAGGGGCAACATCACTCAACGGTATCCTATGCCCTCTATCGAGCCTCCGCACAGCGCTGACGTTACGCCATAGAAACCGTCGCGCGCGTACGGGAGCACATCCTACGCACGCCCGCGGTGCTGCACGATCTCCACGCCGTTGTTCGCGGTGGCGGGTGGGATCATACGCGCTGGCCCGACGCGGCATGGCCTACTGCGGTGCGTAGTACCACTCATCCCATCCACGCACGCATGCGTTCCACGTTCTTATGAGCGGCCACCGCAGGACGCCCTCGACGCGGATCCAGTCATCCGGGGCCGGCCCGTGGTGCTGCAGTCAAAGGACTGCCACGCTCTCTGGGTGTCCCAACGCGTTTTGCAGTTGAGCGCGCCGTTCATAACCGGCGGGATCGAGGGCGGTGCTATTCTCCGTGGCAACAGCAGCGCGCCGACAGGTACGTTACGTCATATAGAGTCAACTCAACTCGACTGCTGCTGGCAGGCGTATTCCTTGACAATGCACAAGCTCTGCTGAAGCTACCGGACCTCACCGAAGAAGATCTGGTGCAGCAGTTCACGACCGCCGTGACCGACGCCCTCGCCTACGGCCTAACCTCCGTGCACGACGCGGGGTTGGATCCCGCGTCACTTGATTTGTTTCTTCGGTGCGTATATTGTATGGCATAGTCCTTCACCTACTTACTTGCCGTCTTTATCGGGTTTGCATAGGCGAATGTCCATCCCGGTAAGGGACTCCCACTTCTACCGGCAACTACCAACTCGAGCCTCACTCCGCGCCGGGCAGATGCGCATTTATGCCATGCGGTTCTTCGACGAGAAGGCGCCATACTGGGGCAATACTACCAAACCTCTTGTGGGCGCCGTCAATGGGCGGCTCACGGCACGCAGTGTCAAGATATTCGCGGACGGTGGGCATTTTTTTTTTTCCCCGGGGGCTGCTAGTACAGGCCGAGGAATACTGAAACGCCTCCAGGGGCGTTACGAACTGGGGGCTCTGCGGTAAACTTCCTGTACACCAAAGGATCTGATGCCTGATATCTGTTACGCTTTCGATGCAGCTCCACGAACCCTACGCGGACAACCCTAGCACGAGCGGCTTCATGCGCCTCGAACCCCGGGTGCTCTTTGAGTTCATCCCGCGCTTCCTGCGTGACGGGTGGCAAGTCGTATGTCTTTGCCTATTCTTCAGACCCACAGCGCACAATTCTCATTCCCCGCCGGATAGAACGTGCACGCCATCGGAGACCGCGCGAACGGGATCGTGCTCGACGCGTTCGAGGCGGCGTTGGACGGCGTGAACGTGACAACGCTGCGTCCGAGGTTGGAGCATGCGCAGCTGATGAGGAAGGAGGACATGGAGCGGCTCGGTAGGCTTGGTGGTGAGCCCATTTCGAGTTTTCTCCCGTGAAAGTCGTTGATGCGGGGCTACGGATAGTAATAGCGAGTGTTCAGCCTACACATGCGTAAGCAGAGCCTCTCCGGTTTCGTTCACTGACAGACTGTCTGCAGAATCAGTGACATGTGGTTTGCGCAGGAACGGCTGGTGCGTCACGTCGAACTCAACGTGTCAAATCCCCGAGCGAGATGTCTAACCAACCAATCTCTTACCCAGGGTCCAGGCCGTGTCAAAGGCCTCTACGCCTTCCGCTCGCTCCTCCGCAGCGGCGCGCGCATCACGCTAGGCTCCGACTTCCCGGTCGAAACGATGAACCCACTGACTGGGTTCTACGCTGCAATCACGCGTTTGTCTACGAGAGGGGAGTCCCCGCATGGGGCCGGGGGATGGTACGTCCTTCCTCTCCCTCCCTCGTGCAGTTATAGCCTGTTTATCGTTTGACTGATGGATTCGTTGTGGTGACTGCAGGTTCCCGGAGGAGCGCCTCACCCGCGAAGAGGCGTTGCGTGGTGCGTCTTCGCTTCTGCGCTCCCTTTTCCCACCCCCGGTTGCTCCCGTTTGACTGAGTACCTCCGTACGTACAGGCATGACCATCGACCCCGCCTACGCCTCCTTCACAGAAAGCATTCTCGGCTCACTCGAGCCCGGGAAGCGGGCAGACTTTACGGTGCTGTCGCACGACATTATGCGCATACCCGCCGAGGAGATTTTAGGGGTGGTGGTGAGGGCGACCGTGATCGATGGTGAGATTGTGCATGGGGCGCTTTGAGGCAGATCCAGTAGATATTCCGGGACGGACCTGTCGTAGAATGGAATTGGAAGTGAACTGGGATAATGCTCGACAAAACCTTGGACCGAGCGCTCGACAAGAAATTCCCGAGGAAACTGGGATTCATGGGTTCACTTCTCCGCCGAAAAATGAAAGGAGCATGGAAGGAGATAAAAACCAGTTGAATGGAAATGGCAAACAGTTGCGGATGACTGAAGGAGCCTGTGTTTTAGCCATAAACCACCGTGAGGATGAGCGAGTTGCACAATCGTCTGGAGAGATGTTCGGACAATGATCCAGGGATAGCCACTCAGCGGTCGTCCCGCTCCCTGCAGGACGATGCCAGTTGATCGTGGAAGAAAGAGAGGGGAACCAGAACATCCTGGATAATATCTACTCAATATCATTTTAATTCTGCTTAGTCCCCCGGAAAGGAGATTTCTCAAACGGTCGCACTAAGATTTCTTGGCAAAGTTGGGCTTTCAACCGACATTTCAGAGAGGAGGAAAGGACTACCAAGTCGCGCATTCAACCCATTTTTGATGGACTAGTCCCATTACCGCCGAGCTACGCGAGGCTACGGGCTTAAGCGACATCATTAATGGGACTCGCGCCATCAAACGAGTCCCACTCCCATTCTTTTCGTCAGTACTCGCCCAGCGTTCACTACAGCATCCGATTGGCGTCCGAGTCCACGTTCAAACGTTCACCGACAACCTGCTTAACGCGACTCGGACGCAACTGACAAAGGAAGGATCGTGAGGCTGGGAGACAACAAGGGAGCGGAGGACCGGAGGTTGAGCAATGAGCGGAGGCGGAAGCGAGGGATGGTACGAAGCAACGTGCACAAACGAAGGCAATCACCTGCCAGATTCTCGCTGGGAGATTGAGCCTGATTGAGCACTTGGGCCGGATTTGCAATTCCCAAGCGGTCCCCCCAAAAGAAGGTGCACGTCCGCCCGACAGCTGGGGGGCGGCACTGCCACAGCGGCGCTAAATTGTGTGTTAGCCCCTTACGGACGTCCGCGATATCGGCTAAGATACAGCAGGCACCTGCAAGGCACCTGTGATAAACCAAGTGGCTTGCAATATTCTGCAGATTTCCTTTCCCGCGTCGGAGTCCCCCGGGCTAGCCCCGCAAAGACGTTCTGCGTCGCGGTGGAGTCCCAGGCTGGCCGTGGCGAACAACTCCCGCTGTCGTGGTGTGGGAGCCTCCAATACCTCCCGGGCTGGCCCCGCCGATCAACTTCCGCAGCAAAAAGGAAAATGCCCGCAAGTAATCTTAGCTCCGCTTTTCTGGATCAGCTTCCTTTGATACAGATTCATGCCTTCCATGAGAAAAAGTCAAAACATACACGTTGTGGAAATGCACCGGTGCACCTCCTCTTTAACCTTTCCTGGATACATAGCGAATAGTTGGGCCAGAGCTTTCCCCTTTTATGTTTTGTGCTTGCGATGCAGTGACCGGCGAACTGACGTCAGTGTGTTGTGTTAGCCGCATAGATGTCCGAACCTGTTCTTCATTGTCCATTCGACAGAGTTGACCGTACTCAGGCTGAACGCGCACTGACGCGGCATTGACGCGCCCTGACGCAACCTTGATGCGCACTGACGCGGCATTGCCGCAGCATTGACGCGCAAACGTGCGAGCTCAAAATGTGATGTGAAGGTGCTAGGAGCAAGCGAGGAGGACGTTTTAAGTGTTGAATAAGATGCCCAGATACACCGAAGTGCATCAAACATCAGTCGGCGTGAGTTGAACTTGAGTTCAGTTCATTTCTAAGTCAAAACAGCCCAACTCATGTACCTTCGTTGCTGCAACATTGACAAGGTCCTCTAATCGGTGTAGTATGCTTTGTGAACGCACAAAAAGTACATTCCAACATTTGTCTGGATGGCGCGCCGAGGCCGCGTCAAGGCCGCGTCAGTGCGCGCCGGTCGCGTCAATTTCTCCAGGCCCGCCGTATGCGACACCCGTGACAACAGACGCGGGTCGCGTGGCTGCTGGCCGCCAATCTAGAACTCTGGCTATCCAAGATTCGGAGACGAACTGGGTGTGGAGACGGCGGGAGGCCAGCTGCGGGGCACTGCTTACCGTGCACCGGTGTCGCGACTCGCGAGCAGGCCGGATTTGATGCGCTGATTGCTGTTGACGTCGAGACTAAGCGAGTCGCACTTTGGTCGCCTATGGTGCGGGTCACCTAGCTGCCGCTACCCCGTGCTTGAGATTTTCCGGGCCGAGTTCGGCCTAAAATCCTTATCCCTCTTCCAAAAGTGTTTCTTTTGACAATACAAGAACATCTGGAAGAGGGATTTCCACTTAATGCAAAACTGAGTGAGTTTTTTTTATTCTTGCCTCAGATTTGGCCACAAGCAGGGGAAATAACAAAGAATTTCAGCTGATTGTGGCTGTGTATACACCCAAAAATTGTCTCCGGCCGATTTGGCCACTAATTTCGGGTGGCGGCAGCCAGGTGGACCCGCACCATCGGCTGCGTGGTGTAGTGGTAACATCTCTGCTCTCTCTAGTGGTACAATACACAATGCCATCGGCTTGGTGTATTGTATAACAAGTCCGCGGACGACGCGGGTTCGGATCCCGCCGCAACCATACAGAGTACAACTTTTTTTATTTTTCTCAAATCGGTAAAGCGATGTCCCCAGTTGGATAATCGCGAGCTAAGCGACGTTAGCCGAGAAATACGCGACTCGCATTGATCGATATTGATCCAGGATTGATTCAATCTTTTTTAGTGTCGTCTGGTTGCCCCCATTAGGACAGCCAGGTCTCTTGCCTCTTGCTCCCAACTTGCTCCCACAGACGCAATGACAATGGGCGCGCCTCCATTCAACGGCCCCGACCCATGGAATCATGACCCCTTGCACCCACTGTACAACTCTCCAGTTGCACAGACGACGCGTCCCGACTTCTCAGACCTCATTGTCCACCGCAACATCCAACGCGGGAGGCAGCGCAGAAGCTCGGCGTGCGACACGTGTAGTTCGAGAAAAGTGAAGGTTGGCTTCATTCTCTCGTTTTGTCCTCTCGTTCCCGAGTCTGAGACGCGCGGCGCAGTGCTCCGGCGACCAACCCTCCTGCAAGCGCTGTCTGGTAGACACAGTCGACTGTGCATACACCAAGAAGCGCCGGCGCGGATCTGCCAAGCCTAAGGCGAACTCCACCGCGAGTGCATTCAAGGATTTGCAGCCGTCGCCGTACAGTCGCAGCGTGAATTCGAATGAGTACGAGGGAATGCCCGGCGATTCTCCTTTGCTGCAGACACGGCTCTCCCTGCCCTCCCCGGTCGTCGGCACGCTGTACCGTGCACACCATACAATGCCCGTGTCCAGCTCGGCGAGATTTTCGTCCCAATTCACTCGCCACGAAGGGCATGCCGACTCTGATACCGATATGAGCGTGAGCAGGGACTCGCCCCGCAGCAGCTGCGACTCGCCCTTTTTCGCACCGCCTCCTTTTCTGCCACCCGGCCTGCATTGGTACGTATACTCGCAGGATGAAAACGAAACGCATACACGCCGCCGGTACGACGAGGGGTGCGTATACTACGAGCAGCCCCCGAACACGCTCCCAAGCCAAGGCAGCACATCTCCCCAAGACGAGTTGCAGTGGTACTATGATTACTGGAATGTTACGCCGGCATCGGCATCGACCGCGAACGGGACAGTTCGTTGAAGGATGGCGTAGAAAGAGGATGAAGCCTGGGGGTAAAGATAGAGGAAAAGAGGGACGCAGCCCCAACGTCTACATATCAAGTTTTGCGGCCAAGCTGCGGCGGTCCTTTGACTTTTTTTCCTACCGAATACGTTCATTTCAATGTATTTTCTTCGAGGTGCCAATTTTCGCTCCATACCGCGATCTCGAATGGGTTTTGTGATTCAGTGTCATTTCGGTGGTATTTGTATTTATCGCACAGTATATGTGCCATACACTACAGTATATGGTTTGGTATATGGCCGAAACGTATCATTTCAGTTAAACTGGAAGGAGAACCGAGACTTGGAGTTCCAGCCGACATTTCAGCCCGGCCGAAATGCCAGGTAGGTAGGTAGGTAGGTAGGCAAGTAGGTAGGTATATTCCGGCGCGGTCCCGTTAAGAAACAGCCGGGGCCCGTACCACATAGAGTACAGTTGTCGATTGTATGCTACGGATACCGTCAATCTTTGACCAATTGAACCTCCGACAACATCGAGTACAAAAAATAAAAGATACCGGTGACGGATGCAGTAACAAAAGTACGGGATACACGAAATTAGCCAGAGAAAAAAACTGATCAGGGCAACATGCATAAGCCGTCGGCAGTGTTGGTCAAAGCAATCGGAGCTGCTTGGAACCATGGGATAACGCACGGTTCAATCCAAGGGTTTGAACTTTGCTGAGGATCAGTTCCCCTTTGTCAACTAGCTCGCCGAGGGATACAGAAACACAGTCATCCATGGTGATTTCCCGTTGCCAATCCATCATGACTTCCAACGGGCCCGTTTTTGTTCGGCCAGAAACGAGGCGTGACTCGACAAAATGCAACAAGCTATCCTCCTCGAAATGATGGCCCGACGCCGAACGGAAGGAAGCCAAGTGCGGTATCAGACATGCAGGACCAGGAATCCAGGTGAGACGGTGAAGGAGGTCATTTGTGATGAGGACGTGAGCCTCGGAGGGCACATCCTGAACGTATAGCTCCTTCAAGGACCGCGTCTCCTCCAAGCATTCCACCAGCTCGTCCACGGTGATGACCATGTCGTGAAGACAAAGCTTGGTGAGGTTTCGACGAAAGAGGGAGCGAGAGGCAAACGGTAAAAACTCGTCTCGCGGCCAAAGGAGGGGGGGCGCGTTCGAACAAGACTCGCGCGAGCGAAGAGTGAGCGCTTCGAGCGAACGCAGAGTGAGCCTTGCTAGAACTCCCCCGAGAATTCGGCGGGAATTCTCAGAACCTTTGAGATCCACCAGCCCCCACTGGAGACTCTGAATGTCGGAGACGACGGGTACTGCGGGTATCGCGCTGGGAACCCCCAATTCGAAGACCCAGAGGCCCTGAATGACGAATGCGCACTTGGGCGGACAGTGCAGGAGAATGGAGAAAGGGAAGACCCCTGTATAACAATCGCTCCCTTCGTAGACAACCTTCTGGAGCTGGTGCCAAGGCAGCAGCGGAGGGTTGTCGTCCGATGCGAGCGTAAGCTGCGTCAATCTCGGCGCAACTTCGAAAATGTCACGCAGTTGATGAATATCACCACCGATCTCGAGGCGTTGGAGGAGCGGAAGGTTGTTCCGGACACAGAGCATACGATGAGCAACGGCTTCCTCGGTGTATATGTCTGCATGGTGCCACCGACGGGATTGCGGTGCCAAGAGCTCGAGGCCGTCCCCCGTGAATGGTGCAGGCCCTGCTGCGATGTGAATACTCAGCGGGCAAAGCGCTGATCGCTCGAGAGAGCGCGACAATGACGAAATCGCGTGCTCAGGGCTGACGAATAGGAACGTCTCAATCGTAGCCCAGAGCGTTGGGGTGCCGATGACGGTCTTGTACCAGACCCAACACACCTGCGACAGCGTGAGGAGATGGGATTGAGCCGTCCGCTGCCTGCAATCTGCGCGGGCGGGGTAAGGTTCTAGGGTGTCAAACATCCGCACACGTGAGGGACGGCACAGCTCGAATATTTCGACCAGAATCTCCTGGGGCAGGCGCCTCACTGGTGCGAAAGGACTGGGACAGGCTTCGTTACACTTCTGCAATGCTTGACGTTCGGCAATGAGCTCGTCCAAACCCTCCCGGGAGGTGTTGATCTCGTCGTCGTAGCGCGCAAGATCGGAATCGCTCGAGGCGATTGAAGCTTTGAAGGGAAACATCAAGGTTGGCGGGGGAGGAGAATTCGCGCGCAGGAGACTCTGGAGCTGGTCGCTGTACTGGAGTGCGAAGTAGTGTGAGCCGATGGATCCGAGGGCTCGAAAAGGGCTCCTCATTCTCCCGACAGTGTCGCAGACAAGAAGCCAATGCAAGCAGCAGCCTGCAGAGGGCGATTTTGGGAAAGTGACGTCGCGTGATCGACTCACTTTTACGTGGATTCAGTCCCATCAAATTTAACTCCGTCCGGCCAGGTCCGCTATCCGGCGAGGGGAAACAAGACGCGGCTCGCACGGCCGATCGGGAAGAACAGCACATGGGTTGAACACACACGCAAAAGGCCGCCTGAAGTTTCCTTTTTATTCCAAATATCGTGGTACAAGAAAATTGCCTGTTTCTGTGTTTAGATTACCAGTGAAAAAACCTCATTGAAAGGCGGCCCAAATCAATACGGCGGAAATCAAGTGCAAAACGGGGTATGTTGAATATTGGTTCGATCAGCCGTTGCGATACTTTACGGGATCCCAATGCCGTACTTTCACAAATGATCGGAGATGCACTCCACTCTTAGCAAGGGTCAAAGAGCTTAGGTGAGACGCAATGGATCCGAGCAAGGTGTCGATTCGAGGTGGTGGTAAGAGGGCAAGGGAGATTACATGATGGGACGACGTAAGGTGACCGTTGTAAATCCCTCGGCTAAGTGGAATCCTCAGCAAACTGAACACCGGGAGTCGCGCAAAGACGGATAGGGAGACAGTGTCGAGGATGGTTGCCCAGGCCATGTCGAGGTCAATCTCAAGCGCGGTCCGAGTGAGCAGCTGCGTTGGACGGAACCTTCGCCTCGGGGTTGCCACGAAATGGGGACTATGAGAGTGACGGTGATGAAAGATGGAATGGAATGCAAGGAGCAAAATGTTGCGAGTAATATATGTGCGTCCCTGACCGTGTTCCAGCTCCAACGTGAACGCGTGCGCGCAATGTTCGGAAAAATGGGGAATATTTGCCTTGCCAGTGCATCAAGACGGGTATTGAGCCTGCGAACCAGATCTGAGTGGGAGAAAGATGTTCAGTACTTAGTCTCTCGTAGACAGACGCTCTAACAAGGAAGCTCGCATGTTAGTTTCGAGCACTCGATAAAAGTCTGGTTGGAATTGAACTACGTGCGGATTGAGGATATCATGACCCGAGACCTTTTAAACTACGGTGCGTAGCGCACGCCGGAGCAATTTCCCTGACGAGGTCTTCGGGATCGCGTCAATAAACTCAATGCCGCCAAGGAGCCTCTTATACTCCGCCTTGTTAGCTGCCAGATCCTACAAGGAAATAGTTCAGGAACGCTGGTTCGGCGACTGGAGACCGCACCTCAATGAGGAACATTTTTATCCTGTTTCCCTCCTCAGGGTCAAGGCGGATCCGCTCCCAAGCATCCTTGCTTAGGACCGCATACGCCTTCGGCACTTCGCCGCTGAATTCGTGGGGAACCCCGACGACGCAGCAGTCGGTGATGTTCGGATTGGCTACAAGATGAGCTTCAAGCTCGGCTGGAGCTACTTGGTACCCTCCAACTTTAATGAAGTCCTGCACAGGGTAAGAGAAAGAGTGTAAGATGTGCTGCTGCAGGGATGAAACCTTGATGCGGTCTACGATATGGAGCTCTTGATCTTCGTCAAAGTACACCTCGTCGCCAGTACGGACCCATCTGGCAGCAGGTCAGTTAGTGATTATGAGTCGCATTATCACTCACCCATC